TTAGGGTCCCTTTTGGGGTCCTTTTTATAAGGGTGCCGTACTATATTAGGGACCCAAAAAGGGACCCTGATTTAGAGAACTACCCATATGCCCCATAGTAGTTCCTTTCTGGGTTTACCTAATAGGATCCTAAATGTAAGCCACAAAAAGGAACTAACTATCGGGCCTATGGGTAGGGCCCAAAGGGTCCGAATAGATTGTGAGCAGAGCACGATCGGTTTAGGGTTTAGGGTTTAGGGTTTAGGGTTTAGGGTTTAGGGTTTACGGAATGTGAAATTAGGTACCGGGCATGGGGGGTTCACCCATGCGAGGGTACGCCCTAAACCCTAAACCCTAAGCCCCTTAAATCCTAAACCCCTTAAATCCTAAACCCCTTAAATCCTATTAAACCCATGAGAGGGTGCTTCTGAAAGTTGTGGGTGCCTCGTCTTCAATGCTGATACTGAGTATCCCCTGGCTCTCTCGGGTTTAGGGGTTTGGGGTTCAAGGTTTAGGGTTTAGGGCTTTAGGGTTTTAGGGTTTAGGGTTTAGGGCTTTATTGTTTTAGGGTTTAGGGTTTAGGGTTTAGGGCTGAGGTCGAGTAGGTGGAGGGCACTCTGGGGCTTTGTGCGGCAAAGCAGCACATGCCATCCTGCATGTTGCGTAGTTGGAAGCTGTGGCCTTGACCCTGAGACTACTATCAAACTTTCCGTGTTGCTATGGGGAGTAATCAGCAAAAATAGTCCTGAAAATAATAAAAGTTCTGGTCTAATGTACCCCAAATCCCTATCGCAATTTCTATAAGCCCCCTACATTGCATTGGGGGGTAAAGGTCCTTTTCGGGCCTAGGTGCAGGGGTTTTAGTCATCAATGCTTCTCTGAAGCCCGTAAACCATACATACACGAATCCCTATCGACTCAGTCTGTTGGATTAAGGGCTTAGGGATGGCCTTTCAAGCCCCAAACGACCCCTAAACCCTAAAACGCAATCTCTTAAGCCCTTAAGTTAAAGTCCTTAACCCACGTGCTATCCCGATAGGTTAGTCCGAAAAGCAAAGCTTGTTAGCCAATATTACGACCGTGTTGGATAGTATACTACAGAAGCTTGAACAATTACCAATGCAATTCCTGAGGGCTCCTTATTATAAGTATACTGCGAGGTTACCTCAAAAACCTATTCTAATCATTGAGGCCCCTACATGACAAGAATCGCTAAGCCCCTTAAAGAGTATCTAAATTCCGAAGCTATCCGAGGCAATTTGGCTTACTGGATGGTGCGGGGCACAGCCTTCGCTTGGGGTCTCCAACACGAAGATCCCTGAGTTTCAGAGCTAGGAGCACTTTAATGAATTTACGGGTAGTGCCCGAAAGTTCAATCCTCAACCCCCATTCGAACATGTCACATGTCATAGTTGCATGTCAATCTCCGGGGAGCATTCAGCAGCAGATATGCAGATTGACACCACCGAAGATTCACAAAACTCAGTGAAGAGTTTGCGGAACATTGAATGACAGCCAAAATCCACACCAAACGCAGCATACATTTAACATCCGAAAACTCGAAAAAACCTAGACAGCCGGCCATCCGTCAACAAGAAAAAGCCCTATCGAAAGATACAGCCTCAGCAGCACTGCTGGTGATCAACATCTTGCATTAAAGGGTAGTGCTCTGCCAAAAACGGTGCACTGAGAGACTCAACTTAGAACTCTAATCCCTAAACCCTAAACTCAAAGCCGTATATGGGTCGCTAAGCCCTAAATCCTAAACTCAAAGCCATATATGGGTCACTAAACCCTAGACCCTCAACTCAAAGCGAAAGAAGGATCATTCAGAGATATGCACTCGACTGAGGTAGAGTATGGCTTCGACGGTTTCCGCTTCGACCGCGTGTCGTCAGTGGTGCGCGTGAGTGAGTGTTGACGGGTCACGGATTAGGGTTCAGGGGCTTTAGGGTTTAAGGTGCAGGCTTTTTGGTTTTTAGAATTTTAAGGTTTATAGTTCAAGGGATTTAGAGGTTTGGGGCGGGTTGAAAGTTTATAAAGTATTTCTGGGTTTGTTGGTTTAGGGGTCAGGGTATTTCACAGCTTCTTTGCCGGACGCCCTCCTTGAATCGTTTCGGGCCCTTAAAACCTAAACCCCAATCTCTGGCCCCCACGCTTTTCGAAAGCAACAGCCTGGGAGGCCTCTATAGGGTTTAGGGTTTAGGGTTTAGGGTTTAGGGTTTGGGTTTAGGGTTCAGGGTGAGTTTCTGACTTTGGAGGATCCGTCTTCTGAAGAACCGGACAAGGGTCGGCGAAGGTGTTTCTATCAAGATGATGCATTTCCGCACAGCCATAAAGAAGTTTAAGGTACTGTACCCTAAACCCCAAACCCTAAACCCAACTTGTAAACCCTAAACCCTAGACCCTAAGCCCTAAACCCAACTTGTATAACATTGCCTTCCATGTCACGTGACTGTCCTCAAGCCTCAGCCTTCTCAACCCTCAGTCCTAAACCCGGAATCCGTCAACCCTAAGCAACTACAGGCATGAGTTTGCAGGTTCAAAACCCTAGGGGTTCATGTATCCAAAGAGTTTACAACTGTTTAGGTACATGAACCCCTAGGGTTTTAATGTATCCATGGAGTTTAAAACTTTTCAGGTGCATGAAGCCCAAGGGTTTTGAACCCCTCCAAACCCATGTGTATCCACCAAACCCTAAACCCATGCGGCCATTCTTCTCCAGATCTATGCACAGCACGGCCGATGGCTGCCGCAAGACACAGAAAAGCCCTTCGGCTGCAGGATTTGACGGCCTTAACTTCCTTGTGTAGTGAATCCCTCAAAGATAGGAACATGGGTTTAGGAGGATTAGTGCTCGGATCCCCTATACTTTGCCTTAAGGGCATCAGGATATCGATGTTCCAACTTTCTGGCCTCTACTGTAAGGGTTCCCTTCGTGCGATCTACAAGGGTTCTCAAGGGGTTATAAGGTAAGACTCCCTAATCTATCCTAGGTTCCCCAGTAGTACCCTTCCCCCCTTTTTCTTTTGGGGTTCCCTTAATGAAACCAAATAGTAGGGAACAGGGTGCCCTTATCATGTAGGGGCTACTGGGGAACCTAGATCATTGATGGTTTGCTAGGGTCTCCAACCACAGGGCTTAAAGCATCCTTACTTAAAGGATCATGGGACTTAGTAAGTAGGGTTATAACTAAGGTAACTATACTTATAACCCCAATTAGGGCACTTACTAAGTCCCATGATCCTTTAAGCAAGGACTAGATTCCGACCTCCAAGTTATTTCAGGCTATCCTTTGGGGGGTCCCGTCAAGCGCTTACCGGGCTGAGGTCTTGGTTGTTCGAGATTTAGGGTTTAGGATTTAGGGTTTAGGATTTAGGGTTTAGGGTTATAGGGCTTAGGATTTAGGGTTTAGGATTTAGGGTTTATATTTTTCTTATGGTTTAGGGTGTAGGGCTTCGAGCAGACCAGGGGGAGACGAGAGCATACTGATGGTATGGCACGGTACCCATAGGTGTATCTATAGGGTCATACCTTACACCTTTTTTAGGGCACCGAGTTTTCCATATAATGGATCCGGACAGGCAGCCCATGGAGGAGGACAAACCAGAGAACCCTAAACCCTAAACCCCCTAAACCCTAACCCCCTACAAACCTAACCCCCTACAAACCCTAAACCCTAA